AGGAAATAAGAGGCAGAAAAACTCTCTAACCAATTAATTCCCCACATCTACAAATATCTGTTATATTGATTGCTTTTAAGTGTGGGTAGCACTTCCCCCTCTATACAAAAAGTTAAACTTGCCAGTTATGTACAGCCAGTTGTCTTGATTCCCTTAGTTTTTTCATCTATAGTGGAAAGAGCTCTGAGTTTTCTGAAATTAAAGCATTTTGTAAAGTATTTATTTTGTTAGTACACATTTCAACAGAGCTGTGTTGGCTTCCTGAAGGTGAGAGCTCAGCCATGAATTGCTTCTTCTAATGAAAGAACGAGTTTGGAAAGTAGGTGGAATGGTGTAGGAAGAATTCAAACTTGAATATCTCTAAATTGAACCCCCACTGCAGCCCATATGCTAAAAACAATTTAAAAGATCTTCCTTTTAAAATACGTATATCAAAATGAACTGAGAAATTACAAAGGCTAAAGTTCCATTAATTTCTTCTAGCAAGTTTTTTTTTTTTTTTAATTTGCAATCATATGAAATCTTTAGGTGACAAAGGAAAGGAGTCACTAGGAACTTCTACGAGACCCTAATGTTCCCCAAATAGGCCAATTGGTACCAGATACTCAATAGTAATAAACAATTCAACAGACTGTACAAATGCATGTGTGCTCCTTGGTTTTCAAGCTCTTGCTGATAGTCAGCTCTTTCTATATATTCCTGGGCCCAGGTCTTCGGCAGCACCAGTGGGCACTATTCAAGGGGACAGACACAAAGCATTTTCCAGGAAAGATCCAATATTATTGCTAGTTTATTCTCCCTAATTTTAGCACTTAATTAAAAATATTTTAATATTTCAGGGAGTGTATATTTCCAGTGAAAAGCAATGTTACATAGCAAAAAAGACACTAATCTTAGCCCTAGAATTTCTTGTCTACTTCTGATTTTTACTATCTGTGTAACCTCGGAAAATCTAATTAACCTATCTCCACATCAGTTTATCTCTACAATTTGGACACAGTATTGATGCACATCACTGGCACACACAAAAATTATTTTGACAACTGCCAAACAAATGCAAATTTTCATTCTTGCACCCATTCAACAAAGAATACAGGAACCATTCCCTAGGCACTGTGATTTGATTTGCAAATGAATAAGGCACAAGTTTTGCCTTTGTGCCAATTGCTGTCTTCTATAGACAAGGCATAAAAAAAATCAGAAGGAGAATCTGAAAGATGAGCACCTGAGACCTCTATTGAACATCACACCAGAAGAGACCTTTGATTTGCTTTTATTCTCCAACCATAAAACATAGTGATTAAAAGTTATCACAATTTATATTTTTATATAGTTATTATTTATAAAGGACCTACCTTGTGCCAGGCCTTGTATGAGGTACTTATGACTTTCCTATAACATTTAATTCTCATATCATCCTTGCAAGGTGAAGGTCTTCATTTAACAAATGATTAAATTTAATCTTAGAGGAGTTAAGTAACTTGTCCAAGTCACAGGGCTAGGAAGATATGAAATAGGAATGTAAACCTAGATTTCTCAATTCTGCTGATTAGATGAAAAATAAAAGAACGAGAATCAACTACCCCATGTTTAATAGACATAAAAACACTAATTGCTGAATTCTGATAGTGGGTTTGGAGATGACCACAAGATGCCCTATTTTCTGGAAGTAGTATCAATCAGGTGAGTAAATCTACCTCTATCTAAAGATTTAAACAGAGGAAAATAAACAATGGACTAATTTGGAGACTGGATAGTTCAAATTCTCTAAGTGTGCCTACATTGCTATAATAAGGTATACAGGGTGCCTATGAGAGGTGTAGAGAAAGTAATAGAGAGTTTGAAAGGGCAGGCTTAATTATAGGATCTGCAATCATGGTGTTCTTCATGAAGGAAGTTCTCTTGGAGCCTTTGAAAGTAGGTAGGATTAGTGTTAGTACAGTCAGGGAGGAAAATAAAATAGTAGTGATAGTCTAGTTAGAAGGGACAGTTCTTTAATTCTTTCAACAAATATTTGTTGAGTACCCACTATGTGCCAGGCACTGTTCTAGGCACTTAGTAGTGAACAGAACAGGAAAAAAAACCCAGACCTCATGAGTTTTCATTTCAGTGAGTAGATGAATAAATAAGGCAGATATATAAAATATGTAGCATTTTAAGCAGTGGCAAGAAGAAAAATAATATTGGGGAAGGTGATAGGGAGAGTGTGGAAATGCATTTTAGGCAGGATGTCCAGAGGCGGTCTCACAGAGAGGACAATATTGAATCAAGACCTGAATTGGGGAGGGAATGCTCTGCAGATCTCTGAGGCAGCGCATTCCAGGTAGAAGGGACAGTAAGTACAAGAGCCTGGAGGCAGAACCACACCTGGGCATATTTGAGGATCAGGAAGGATATTAGAGTGCCTAGAGAGGAATAATTTAAGGGCAAAGAACTAGGAAGGAGTCAGAAGGGTAAAGGTGGAGCACCATGAGCCAAACTTCTGTATGACTTTTTGGGTCAGTATAAGGACTTGACTTTTACTTTCAGTGATAAGGGAGCCACTGGTAAGTTTGATGAAAGGAGTGTCATGATCTGACATATTTTAACAGAATTTTCCTGGCTATTTTGTTGAAAATCAGCTTGAAAAGGAGTATGGGCAAAGGTAGAAAAGAGACCATTTAAAAGACAATTCCTGTAATGCAGGCAGGAAATGATATATCCTGAACCTGGCAGAGGTAGATCTGTATGAACTAATTTAATTCTGGATGTATTTAGAAAATAGATCAAATAAGATTTGATAAGTTAGGAAGGAAAGAGAGGAATCAAAAGTGTCCCCAGTATATTTGACATAGCACATAGAGAAATTTCCAGCAGCAGAGGGGAACGTGGAAGTATGAATATACTCAGTGTAGAGAAGGAAATTGTAAGATTTGGCTGGCAGCGTGGGGCCAGTGTCAAGTCTTGAAAAGGAAGCAGGATTCCTCCTCTTATACTTGTCAGGATTAATTATGCTAGTTTTCCTAGTGATCCTCTGTTCTAGTACTCAGAGAAACTTAAGAGTGTAGTCAGCATTTGGGCCAGGAATCAAGGACAGGATAATATATCTCTACAGTTTGAGAACTCCTCAAGAACCATGCTATCTTGAGTTCCTTTTTATCCCACTTAAAGAAAACTTTTCAACAAATGGCAAACCTCTGATTTTCCTTTCACCTATTACCATGCTCTTCCTATATGTCTCATTCCTCTGCATTCTTTAGTCACTGGACCTGGTAGTAAATTCTTCCTCCTATATATTCCTGCCCATAACCATGTCCTCTGCCCTAGACTACATCATTTCCAGTTATCACTGGGATTGTTGCACTGCCTCCTAATGGGTCTTTCAAACTCCACTCCTACAGCTCTTTAAATATTTCTCCACATTGTAGCAAAATTGTCTTTCTAAAATAGAAACCTGATCAGGTTCCTTCCTAGTTTAAATACTAAAGAGGATCTCCATGTTCTTATAATAAAGTATAGCAAACTTAAAATGTCTTCCTCCACTACTTCCGTTCTCCCCATTCTCCTACCTCCCATTCCATGTTCTGGCCATTTCGATCTTTGTAAAGTTTCCCAAACGCAGTATGTTCTTCTCATCTATGTAGCTTTAGGCATGTTTGGAACACTCTTCCCTTCTACTCTTTATCCAACTGATACTCAACCATAATGCTCAGCTTCAGTGAGCTTCTAGGTCTGGTGCCCTTCCCGATTCAGTCTTACCTCAGCACTTGTCAAACCAGATGCTCATCTGCCCTTTAGAATCTAAGTAAATAAGAGCAAGAATCATGTCTCTCTTGTTCAACATTATGTCCCTCAATCTGAGCAAGTTTTGAGTAGTCACTGTTGAATTAATAACCCAAATTGAATGTTAATTCTTTAATGCCACTTTCCAAGAGCCCTTCATTGGAAGGGATTGCCCCTCTTTTGGCCTTTATGGATTTTCACTCCACTTACTTATATAACAGATTTACCACCTAATACCTTTCACTTTAGTTATATAATTTATCTCTATTATTGAACAAGTTTCTTCTTTAGTGCAGAATCCATGTACAATTCATGTTTGTAGTTTCCCTAGCTCATCTGCCACATAGTTTTATATATACACAGACTCCAATAAAAGTTTACTGAATTAATGAATTAATGGAACTTAAATGTTATCTACACTAATAAAAGAGAAAGATGCAAATTGACTGTACCTTTGTGACACCCACCAATCAGGAGTGAATATGCAGATTAACCCAACAAAGATGGCAGGTTAATTTGCATACATGGATGCCCAGCAGCCAGGGGAGGGATGCTTGCATCATTGCCATGGTGATGATGCAGGTATTTCATATCGCCTCAGTCACTACAGGCCTCTGTGCACCGTGGGAAGGCAGAAAGGCAGCTTCAAGCCAGAGCAAAGGCTGTGCCAGCAGCCAGGGTAAGGAAGGCCCATTCTGCATGATTTTTTGTGCATCGGGCATCTAGTATAGTCTAATTTATGGAAAGCATATCCTTTGAAGTTGGAAATAGCAGGTGATAAATCTAAGTAGGTAAGTGAGGCAAGATAGTGGAGGATCTAGTTTGCTCAGTTAAGTAAGAACTTAATGATTTGAACACTGGAAATTTGTTGAGGATTTGTTGAAGTACTATGTGATCACAGATGAGTTCAGAGAGATTAATTCATACTTAAGGTAACTTTTTTTGGTAGATAAGTAGAGCACTATCCTGCATCCATTTCCAAAGTTGGGTAAAGGGGTAAGTGAACCTTGGTAATGTTAGGGATTCAGATCCTTTGGGATTATGAGGTGGGGAAAAACACATACAGGAAGTAGAAGACTAGGCATAGTATGTTGGCTCTTGGGTCCTAGTTTTACCTCTGGTTCTAGCGATAATATCACTCCACTGCATTCTCGAATTATTCAAAATTATTCAGAGTCTTAGATGTAGGTATAATAAAATTAAATCTCAAAGTTAATTCCTAATTTGTTTCCCAACAGGTTCTCTGACTCTGAGAACACATCATGTTCAAGATTCCAAAATGGGATTTGTGATCAATGCGATCTACTCCATGGCCTATGGCCTTCACAATATGCAGATGTCCCTCTGCCCAGGCTATGCGGGCCTCTGTGATGCAATGAAGCCCATCGATGGACAGAAACTTTTGGACTCCCTGATGAAAACCAATTTTACTGGGGTTTCCGGAGATATGATCTTATTCGATGAGAATGGAGACTCTCCAGGAAGGTATTGTCACAATTTTCCTCTAGACAATAGATCGTGAACAACAGTCATCTCTTGATCTTGAGGGACCTTTTTATCTCCATGGTAGTTATCCAGACATCCTGGTCATATTTGACTAGCTCTGACATCATAAAGTGAGAAGAGACAGAGAGGGAAAGCCCTATTTCCTGTGGCCAGGGAAACACATTGACGCTGATGTGCAAAACATGGTCTTGGAATCATCCCCATATTTCAGACATATAAACATAGAAGCAGGGGTCTCACATTATCATAGATAATCAAGAGCAAGTTCTGTTTGCCATGTTATTCCTTGTATTCTAATCTCTTCTTAGGTCATGAAGCTATTCTGAAATAGGAACAATTCAATCTGGTATTTCAGAAATAGGCATGAGGCACTGTTATATTGTTTGCTGTCCCTACAGAGAGTTACAAGTCATATTTTATTTTCTTATCCTCCAACTGGAGCACTTTCTCCCTTCTCAAGGACTAAATTGCCCTTTTCTCTGAAATTTCACTTTCCATTACTTATAGAGAGGAGCCTGAAAATATGAACTTAACCATAATTATAGATCAACCTCCAGGGAAAGCCCTGAAGTACCTAGAACTTATCAGAATTCACATCTATTTCATACTCCAAATTCTTAAGTGACTCTTCACATGGAACTTTTAATCCATGAGAGACGGTGTCATTGAAATGATATTCTCAGTTGTAGCAAGACTGAGTCTTCACTCCACCTTGCTGCAGAACAATAGGGATCCTTCGATCTCCCCCTGTTAAATTCCAAGTACTCTTCCAGTAGCAGATTATGTTTGACAGCTGTGCTTGCAGGGGGTGACCTGAAGGAGCGTTTGCAGTTGACCATGCCAAAGGTTTCAATAGTCTCTCCAGGACTCAGGTGCCTACACCTTGGTTTAGCTTGGTCCATATTCCTGAGGTAAGCTGGAGCTTGTCTCTGATGCAGCCCTTATCATTTCATCAACTGGACTTCTCAGTTACAGCTGGTGTCAAGACATGCAGCCAAGAGGAAAGCTGGATATTTTCTCTGTTCTAGAGATGTGAAGATGATTGCTCCAGGTAGAGTGTTGGCTAAGATAGGCTGACTTTTCATATGTGGTTTTCTAATTTTTCGCTATTCAGTTTATCCATTACAGGGTGGGAAGGGTGCAGAGTGGGAGGGAGAGATACAAGCATTTACCCAGGGTCAAAATTGGCTCTGTTGTAATGCTTCTTGGGGCAGGTGAACCAATGAGCTCAATCTTTGGGCTTAGGTCAAGGCCTGTGCTCTGGTATCTACACATGGATTTTCAGTCCTGTATACATCCTCACAGTACTGACATCAGCTTGGGGCTTGTTCACAGATGTTGTGATTACAGCTTCACCATTCAGTTTTCATTTCATATATCCAAGCCATTTCCACAAGTCAGATAGTGAATAAATGGCTCAGTTTTATCCCAATGGGAAATCTTAATGAGTCACTGTCTCATTTATAATCCTCCAAATATGCTGTAATGAGATAGATTTCTGATGCTGGTTCTTAACATTTTTTTTGTTTGAGCATGAATTTTTTTAAGACTCAGATAAAATTTGTAAATATTCTCTTAATAAAAATATATGTAACATTTTATAATTTCTGGGAATTCAGTTGTTTAGAGATTTCCCATGTATTACTATGGTTGGGTATTATATTAACTCATTAATAAATAATCAGAATTGGCTTCTGTAGGCATGAGCCAGACTTAGGAAAAGGTGGTTTGTAACTTTTTTTCCAAAGAATACAGTTATATTAACAAAATAACTAAAACTAACATTTATTGAGGGTGTGTTCCGGGTCAAACACTAAGCTAAATCCTCTACATTTGAATCCTATGGGATAAGTAATATTATTATTCTCTTTCCAGATTAAGGCTTCCAAACAGGCTCACAAAGGTTTAATGACTCGCCCAAAGACACATTCTAATACATGGTAGTCAATATTCTTCCTCAGCCTATTGTGCTTCAACTCCTAACCATATACAACATCCTGCCAATTAACCAGGATCATAATAAAAAAGCCATTGTTTTCTGAGAATGCATTTGAAGGCATTATGTTGTTAGTTCTGCGGATTAAAAGTTACAGCTTTGCTAGATCAAAGGCATTCCAAACCAGAGGAAGGAGCCTGGGGTGGTCAAATGTTCCCTTAAAATGTGAGTCCCAAAGCCAGAGCCTAAACAGAGGAAGTGGGGAGAGGCGGCACCTCACTTAGGCACCCACACTTGTGGATCATTGAAGAGTAAACTAGAATCATTGCTTTTATTTTTTTAATTAAATTATTATCTGTGTACATATCTTACCATTGCCCCCCCCCCCGATACATATCCTCCCTCCCCAGAGTTTTGTGTCCATTGGTTGTACTTATATGCATGTATACAAGTCCTTCTGTTGATCTATTATCTCATTGCTTTTAAACCTCACATCTAATTAGCGTCCTATCAGTTCACAATTCTTTAATGAAAACCTTGGTGCTAGGTGTGTTACAGAATTCAAGATGTTTGAATGTACAAAAGGTTATACAGTCCTCTAGTGCCCCTGGCATGCTTGTGGAGCTGCACTTATTTATCAACACATTAATATTTCTGCAGCAAAACATGAATATTCACATGAAGTGATAAATAGCCTGACTATAAGTAGCCTCATGACAGTGGGGGCTAGGTTCTGTCACTAGGTAAGTTCAGATAGGCTTCTGTGGCACTTCCAAGTGAGTTATAAAAGTTAAAAAAAACACAACTGTGGTTTTTCAGAGCTCTAATGAATTCAGAATTATAGATAAGAAATGTGGACCTTTACTATCAAGGGTATAAATTACAGGTCAGCAAACTATTGTCTGCAGGTAAATTAGAATCTGCTGTCTTTATAAATAAGATTTTATCGGAACACATTTGCACTCATTTGTTTGTGGCTGCTTTCACATAACACTAGCAATGCAGAGATATTCCACAAATCAAAGACAATTTCACATAGCTTAAAGCATTTGCTGCCTGCCCCTTTACAACTAAAGTTTTCCAACCTCTGGTATAGAGAGTTCATTGAAATCTAAGATTTCAGAGGCATTGTCATGGTCTGGAAGTGACCATAATTGAACAGAGGAAACATGGGGAGTCAGTGTTAAGACAAATGACTACTTAAAGCAAAAATTGTAGCATTGTATTGTGAGATTTATAATTGAATAAAAAATATGTGAATATAAAATATTTGACAACATGAAGGAAGGGGATATAAAATTATATATGTGCAAGGTTCTTATATTTTACATTAAGTAAATATAAGTTAATGGCACATTAACTTTAAGAATACATATTGTAATCCTATAAACATCCACTAAAATTTTCTACAAGAAGAACAACTAAAAAGCCAATAGAAAATTCTAAAATCCAAATTATCTCAAAAGAAGACAGGAAATGAGGAACAGATTGACAAAACCAGAGTGACAAGTAGCAAACAAGAATAGGACACTAGAAATGTGCTGAGACTGAGCTGGTTTGCACACTGATTATGTGACCCTATCCATCAAAGGGCATACAGATGATTTGTTTTAACATGCTAACTTCCATGGGAGAAAACTGAGTTTCAGAGAAAAAGGAAGAGGAATGGTTAAGGTTACATAGTCAATTAGCAACAGGAAAATGAGACTATAAACCATAGGCATAATTAACAAATAAGAATTTACCTAAGATTGTTTTCATTGTCTTTATATTACATTTGAAGTGGTTATATAATATATATAGTTACCATTAAAGTTTTTTGTCAAAGGAACTCTATGGTCTCTCTTTAATCTGTGATTATACCACCCCAAATGCATAGGTCATAATTGCTTTGTTGTAAGAACCAGTGTTTGGAGAGCCCATTACATCGACCAACAGTATATTTACCACATTTTTAAGAATTAAACTTTTTTTTTTATACCTGGCTGTTTTGGTCAATAGTTATAGTGTCAGCCCACAGACTGAAGAGTCATGGGTTTAATTCTTGATCAAGGGCACATACCTCAGTTACATGTTCTAACCCTGCCCAGGTCGGGGAGCATGAGGGAGGCAACGAATCAAGGTGTCTCTCTCCCATCATTTTCTTTCTCTCCCTTTCTCTCTCTCTCTCTCTTTCTCTCTCTCTCTCTCTCTCTCTCTCTCTCTCTCTCTCTCTCTCTCTCTCTCTCTTTTTCTCTCTCTCTCTCTCCTCCCCTTCCTCCCTCTCTTCCACCCTCTCTCTAAATAATCAATGAAAAATTATCCTCTGGTGAGTATTTAAAACAAACAAACAAACAAACTTTTTTTAATCACTTTGGCATCAGAATTATAGACTGAGAGGACCCTAGAAGCCATGTAAATCCCATACTCTCTACAATGCCCTCCACCAAATGATATTTCAATTCTTCTAACAACAATCTTGCTTCAGCCCATTGGGTAAGGAGAACCTCACTATTCCTAAGAAAGCCTGCTTTAATTTTCAGAAAGTTATAATCACTCAAATAGTTATTTCTGTCTTCCTTTAATTTCTGTTTATGCTTTAATGAAACACATTTTTTTCCTTTTGGTTAAAATGTATCTTAGATTTGTTAGCCATGTATACAATTAATATTTTAAAATCTTCTGGATATTTAAACTTGGAATTATGGCCAGTTAAAGAAGTGGCAAAATTTTTCCATGTTAATTTTTAAAAACAAGATCCTTTCACTTTTCACTAATTGTCCTATAGAAAACAAAATAGGCGTGGATATAGGAATAAAAGCCTTAAAATGTAGAGTAGTTCAGAATTCTGCAATATTTAAACAATGGGAAATTTATTTCTTAGTGCTACTGAACAGATTTCAATAATGGAGCCTAAAGGCTGAGGTTAGGTCTTGGCTGGGCCGCTTGCATGTTCTTCAATCCATGTTCTGCTATCGGGTCATCTTCACTGCCTAACCGAGTTTCAGTTCCACTGGCTGTGGAATTAACAGTTTGGTAGAATTGGATTGATGGCTTATTTGGGAATGAATAATGAAACCCTCGAATCTGTTCAAATCAATAGCAACAAAGAAAGAAGCTGCCTGGCACCTACATTTCTTTCCTCCTCCCAGCCTGGAATGTTCAAAAGTTACTTGCTCACAGAGTCACCTTTTGAAGAGCTATAAGCCCAATATATTATATATGAAGTAGCCAATTGTATCATATATATGAGTCCTTTTTACCTGTGTTCTATGTTCTAATATCTTATCTTAGTAGCCATGGAGTAACCGGCAGAGTGAAAAGATGTAGGATTCAGTTTTGTATCCTATAAATTAGTGCTTTTTGTTTTAGAAATAGAATTTAGACACCTGCTCAAAATTGTTACCAACTGTGAATAAAACACTGTAGAATTATCTTTTGGCCACTGAATAGCCAATAAAACTTAAAAATGAATTAAAGTTCTGAAAAAGATAACTACAGTAAAAAATGTGATTGGAAATGAAAACAGAACAGTGTCATTTTACAATGTATGTCCAAACAGATTGATGTCAGATTTGTTCTTAGCAACTATGTGCTGAGCATTGGTCTGAATATGACAATCTGGCAACTTGAACCCCAAAGCGAGAGTTTTCCATCCATGTCAATTTCCAGACAACTAAATTTGCTGAGCATGGAAGGTTGTAGGAGGCATGCATAAGAGCCCATCTGCCAATCATGTAAGTCCTGGGAGGGAATATCAGAGGGTACTATGTGAAGGCACTGTGCATCTAAGACATACCTACAGGTATGTCTACAGGAACTGACACACTGATTGTACTACTCATCCAAGGTACCCAGATTGGAAAATCATTTCAGAAATGATTCTCTTAATATTAAAAAAAATCAGCTAAACACATCAATTTTCCCTCTTTACTTTGCTATTCCCATGCTTAAAATAAGAATAACAGCTAATAGAGGCTGAGAACTCACAGGGTGCTAGTATATCCAGGGATTTTTGCATTACCTAAGGTACTTTAGAAGCTATTTTCAGACTTATTTTAAATATCACTGCAGGCATCTTTATAGGATGACTTTTGCCATCAATAAAGGATAAAATAAGAAAGGAAAACCAGGCCCTCTCCAAATTACCCCCACATTCCCTATAGCTGAAGATTAAAGATTTACCCAATTTCTCACTTGGTTAGAAAAGGGAAATTTTATTTTATTTGTGTGGAGATGAAAACCTTTCTATCTTTTTTAGAAGTCTAAGAGCAGTGCTTGTTTAAACTTCTTGAAGTTATTTCAAAACTTGTCTTTCATCCTGCTGAGGTCAGGTCACCTTCTCCCATGGATTGCTTTCTATTTCAGGTGTATGCTTGAATTTTAAAAAATAAAAAGTAAAGTCTCTGAAGACAAAGTGAAACAGAGGTGTATTTTTGTTGTTGTTGTTGTTAGTCTTAGTGTACTGTCATGGAAAATTCCAGTATCACTAATTTTTTACAGTGTTTGGGAATGAAATCTTTCGATTTTTCATGGCTGAGGTTTCATATTGTTAGATGAATAATTATTATATTCTCATTTCTAAGGTATGAAATAATGAACTTCAAGGAAATGGGAAAAGACTATTTTGATTATATCAATGTTGGAAGCTGGGACAATGGAGAATTAAAAATGGATGATGATGAGGTATGGTCTAAGAAAAACACCATCATCAGATCCGTGTGCAGTGAACCATGTGAGAAAGGCCAGATAAAGGTAAAATGGAGTCCATGTTTCTTTAATTGTTGTTATAAATTCGGAAGTGTTCGTTATCTTTGGCTGTTGTTTAAAATTGTAGATACTTATTTTTTATATTATAAGCTTTTAATGTCAGAAATTGTATTTTTACTTTTTGCTCATTGATTCCTCATGCTATCTAGTATGACCCACTTGAGGCTTAGTACTTGGACTCACTGAGCCAACTGATGAGTTATGTTTGCCTGCACCCTTTCTACTCATGTAAGCCTTTAAAAACATACTTCTTGGAAATAGTTCACAGTTGGAAATTACATTAATTGGTAATTATCTTAACAAACATTTATAAACTCCTACTAATGTAATAGTGTATATCAATGGTGAAAAAGTAAGTTAGACATCTTTACTGTCAGAAGAGTTATAATTTAGATGAGGAAAAACATTATGGCACAGATAACTAACATGATATAAAATTGGATGACTTTATTCAGAAAGAAAAAAAGAGAGTTATATAAGTTCATACAAAGTAAATGGAGAAATTTCTTCTGAGTATTCATTTGAAGAAATAGGATCAGCTGGAGGATACAAAACTACTTAGTGGGTATAAGTAAGACCAGAGCCATGGTACCTCTCAATTCCCAGGCCAGTACTCTTGCCTCTACATCTTCCAAAATATCATGAACTCAATCTTTATATAGACCAGAAAGGCTCTATGTTTAAGAGCACGAGTCTTGAAGTCCAATAACCACTGTTTGATTGATTCTTCATGTACCCATATATGCTGTATGAACTCACTATGCCTCCATTTTTCTCCCTGGGGGGAAAAACAGTAAAATAAAACCAGCTTTGTGATACAAAGATAACAGCATATGGTATTCACTAAACAGCCAGAAAATAGTCAATATCATTAGAGAATACTTTAGCTTGATTAAACAGATCTAGTTAGCAATTTTGCCTCACTTCACTGGTTATTTTAAGGAAAGGACATTTTAACCCTTTTTGTCACCATTCCCTACTCCAAACATGTCAAACCCATGGCCCGTGGGCTGCATGCCTCGTTTATTTGGCCCTTGTTAGCCTTTGAGATTGACATGCTTGCCCTACTACTTGTATCATTGCGGTGAAAAGAGCCAGAACAAGGATGCTACAAAATAAGAAAGAGGTGCCACTTTACAACTGTATTTGGCTATAAATATCTAGACATTCTTATTAGCAAAGATCCTTAATAGATTCAGCAACTAAGACAAGAAATAGAGTGTAATCATTGCTGTGTCTGGTTATTGCTGGTTATTAATCACAGCTTTAATTATTTATAGGAATGTTTAATGAATGCTATCTCTATTCCACAGAGGCTATTCATGAACCAGGAGCGGGGTGGGAAAAGGCATCCATTTCTAAAACATAACATCTGAGACACTTTCAACTGTCAAATTATTCAATTCTTTTCTATTGCCTTTAAAAGAATCAAATAGATGAAGAGTTATATAATAGTCTCAATGACCTTATCCATATCTACCTTCATCCCAAGCAAATAAAAGCTACTAGAATAAGCAGGAATGGCTGAATTATTGAACCAGATTTTTAGTAGAAATGGATACCAAGTTATGAGCTCCCTAAAAACATTCAAATTCTCTCTCTTTATTCAATACAAATTTCTAATTATTTTTTTAACAACATGGATAGATTTTTTTTTAAACTTTAGCAGATGTACAATGTTTTTTTGCTAAAATTTTCAGCTATTGGAAGGAAGCCAAGATAACTATAGAGAGCAAAAGTTCTTAATTGGAGGGAAAGAGAGGCACAGCCTCAGGAAAATTCAGTTACATACACATAGATAGAGATGTATGTGTATTTATATGTGAGCAAAACAGAGGCACTTAATTAAATACAGGTATCTAAAGCTAATTCTCCAAAGACTTGCATTTAATGTAATTCTTGACGCTATCACCAACAATTTTATGATACTGAACTGGTTACTTAGCCTGTTTCTTTAATTATTGAATGAGAACATTAATACTTATACTGCCCATCTGGTAACATTTGAAATCATTTATGTAAAAGCCCTTTTCTGCTTTGCAAAGCAATATATTTGAATTTAAAAAATTGCTGGATTTCTATCTATGCAAGGAAATAATCGGAATTTTAAATATTTGCCTTAGGTGATCCGGAAGGGAGAAGTCAGCTGTTGCTGGACCTGTACACCATGTAAAGAGAACGAGTATGTCTCTGACGAGTACACCTGCAAGGCATGCCAACTGGGGTCCTGGCCCACCGATGACCTTACAGGTACGTGTGTCACAATGTCAGTATAGGTACAGCTCTCTCTTATTAAAAAAAATAAAAAATAAAAAATAAAAGTAATTGAAGAAGACACACACATGGGAAGAGGGAGTCACGTCAACCAGCATTTTTCATCTTGGTGGCCTTGGTTTATGTCACAAAGAATTTCCTTCAGAACAGAAGCCTCCCCAACACCTGGCTAATTGTAAAAATCTATAGATCTTACAGAGAGATTGGCTTATATTCCCACCCTTCCCACCAAACTAGCTCAGAATCCCCAGGTTTTCACGCCATCCTGAGGATATTCCCAGAAATTTCTAGGCAGGGCCCCAGCTTACTGTCATTTGAGGTGGAAAGAGAGAGCTATTGGCCAGGAAGAAACTAAGATATGTCATGACTTATCCAAGAGTAAAGAGGTTACACAGAATTGGGTAGATATTGATCTAAAACTCTTTGCTTCTCTTTGTGCTTTTCCTTATTCTAAATCAGGAACTTCCAACTAATGAGTTTTTAAATACTTTCAGTACAGGGCATGGCTGATGTCTGATTGTTCCTTGTTTAGTTCTTTAGGGGGTGGAGTAGGTGGTGTTTGCTTTGTGTTCTTTTGGTTTGGGTTTATTTTCTGCAAAAGATGTTAAGGAATGTGTTATTGTGTTCTAAACATTATATTTTATAAATATTTTTAATTTTTACAATATAAAAACAGCATACGATAGCTTTCCTCTTTTCTTATAAATTATTCAGTGTATATTATATGCCTGTTTGCCTCACTGAAATAAAGATACCAACTTCTATCTTCACTTAAAGAGGGATGCAAAAAGATAAAAATATGATTCCAGTTAATTAACATAGATTGGTGCAAATAGGAGTATGAAGAGTGGTCCTATGAGACTAAGTTTTTCAAGAAAATAGAGGGGGGGAAATCTCGATGCTTCATTTATGCTGGGAAAATATATTTTTAAAATCCAAACAATAAAATGGGACTGTAGAAGTGGTCGTAGATCTAGCTTAATTTTGTAATTTTCATGCACAACCCTTATTAAAAGCTATATAGATTGTGGTACAGACAAAAATAAATTATCTATTTGAATATTTTTTTAAAAATCGTGAGAAGAGGGCCCTCAAGTGCTATGTCAGGTCCATCAAACGGTTTTGAAATTAAAATGGATTTAGCACAACCTTAGGCTATAATATTATAGCATCCTCAGTGTTAATCCCCACCCCTCACAGGACAAGAAACTATTCCTGGTTGTTGTGTTAGCTTATTCCAAAACCCTGGTTCTAAAGTCCTGTGATCTTGAGTCTTTTGAGACCAACTAACATTAAAGCTTTGTTTTCAGTGAATGGTGTTTATATAGAAAACTTTCCTTTTCTTAAATAAAGATTTAATGCAATATCTAAGTGCCTTGTGTTAGCATTTGGATCCTATTTTTACAAGACAATGAGCTTTTTGATGCTCTTTTTAAAAATATATATTTTATTGATTTTTTACAGAGAGGAAGGGAGAGGGATAGAGAGTCAGAAACATCAGTGAGAGAGAGAAATCAATCAATTGCCTCCTGCACACTCCCTACTGGGGATGAGCTCACAACCAAGGTACATGCCCTTGACTGGAATCGTATGGAGCCCTTCAATCCACAGGCCAATGCTCTATCTACTTAGCCAAACCAGTCAGAGCTGATACTCTTACATCCTGGTACCCCCAAAGCCAACTCAGTGCTTAACACATAGCCTTCCATAAATTTAGTTTAATAGATGAACTATAGCCCACTTCCATACACACATAGTAACATGTCAGAAAGAAAAACGAACATGATTGGTTTTCATGGGAGGGAAGTGAGGAGCTGCATTGCAGTCTTTGCTTTTCTACTATTTCTTTACTTTTTTCAAATTTCTAATTTCAATATGTATTGTCATTAACTTGAACACCTATCTTGCAGATTCAACTATCTGCATGGTTAAGCACCTTGAAAATGAATATAATATTTCTTGTCCTATGTTTTGTAAAACTATTCTGCTGACAATGGACATGGTCTGCTTCTATATTCATTCAGCAGAAAAATGTTTAATCTTCTTATTTGCATATAAAATACATGGTAGAGAAACTGAGGTTGAAAACCAGATGTGGTTCTTATACATATTACCATCTTACTAGAAAAGAAACATTAATTTCCCCCTCTCTTGCTCTCTGTCACACATAAACACACACATATAGTAAATTATATTAAGTAATGTAAAGTAAAAGAACAAGATTTTTTAAAATGAAAATATTAGGAAAGACAAAATTTAAATGTGTGGCTATAAAAGATCTCTCCAAAGGAGTGAAAATTAACTGAGATTTAAATGTTAATTAGAAATGGCTAACAAAAAGAATCATGAGCCGGGACCGGTTTGGCTCAGTGGATAGAGCGTCGGCCTGCGGACTGAAAGGTCCCGGGTTCGATTCCGGTCAGGGGCATGTACCTTGGTTGTGGGCACATCCCCAGTGGGGGGTGTGCAAGAGGCAGCTGGTCGATGACTCTCTCTCATCGACGTTTCTAACTCTCTATCCCTCTCCCTTCCTCTCTGTGTAAAATCAATAAAATATATATTTAAAAAAAAAAGAATCATGAGAAGAGCCTTTCTGGCTAAGGAAGAAGCACAAGTGAAGGTCTATATATGGAGAAGCAAATGGGAAAATGGTGTCAGAAGAGATCAGAAAGGCTTCAGGGGTTAGGCCAGATAGAGCCTTGTAAAACACACCCAGGATATAAGTATTTATTACTAAATACAATGAGGAACACATTTATTATACCTTTAAAATATCATTCTAATTTCCATGAGGGAGAATAGTTTGGAGAGGGATAGAAAGTGGAATCAGGGATGCCAGTTGGATGATTACTGCAGGTTGGCATTGTAGGCAAGATTTCTTAGTGTCCTTGCCTGAACTGTGCATTGGAAATTTTGAAATAGACTTTGGAGTAGAATCAAGAGGATATACAGATGAATTGGCTGGAGTAAACACTAAGTAAGGCTACCAAATAATCTGCCTTGAAGGCTAGAGAAATAAATGCATTCTTTCACAAAAATAAGTAGTTTGATTTTAAGCACAATCTCTTTGAGATATCTTTGAGATTTTCAAGTGTGAATTAATTTAACAAATTAAGGCCTTGCACATGTGTCAAACACAAGGCCCGAGGGCCAAATCCGTCCCGCCAGGCCTTGCAATGTGGCCCGCACCGCGCTGTCATCACTGCACTCCGCTGCGTTTCCATCACAGTGACAGTTTATGACTGTTCAGTAAACCATTCGGCCTGCGATTTAGGCTGGATTTTAGATTTTGGCCCCTTCTCTGATTGAGTTCGACAACCCTACTTACAGTTTGTTCCAGAAAATGTTCAAAAAACTTATAATCTAGTGGGAGAAAAGCATACCCACCCATAATATGAAAAATAGACCGGACGATGGAACAACTGAACAACTGGTCACTATCACGTGCACTGACCACCAGGTGGCACATGCAGGAGATGGCAGGCATCAACAGCAGGTGGCAGAGTGTGGAACATGGGGGCGGCAGCAGCAGTGGGATGATGGAACAGGTGAGCAGGGGCAACAGACCAACGTGGGGCACTGGTCGCTGTCATCAGGGTGAGCCTCTGGTGGTTACTAAACATTCATGCTGTGGTTCTGCCCCATGCTTGCACCTGCTGCTGTTGCTGGCCCTACTCACACCTGCTGCTAATGCTGGCTCCAATAACTCCACACCATCAGCGGGTCCGAGTGGGGCTGGCGTCATCAGCATGTGGGAGCAGTGGCAGCGGGAGTGGTGGCAGCGGTGGCAGTGTCAGACAGGGGACCAGGGCTGCAGCAGGAAGGGCCAGGAAGGGGCATGGAAGATGGACCAAGACCCACCCCTGTGCCCACCACAGCCTTGTGATCCACAGTTCCTTTCAAGGTGCGCTAATTCATGCACTGGGCCCTAGTATAGTATATTAAAGGCTATAGGTAAAAATGAACAAAGTGGTATGGAAAAATAGAGGAGGGCCTACCTAACCCTGAAGAAGTTGGGAAAGTTTAATCTTGAAGCATAATCTTGGAGCTCACTTAATACAAAAGTGAAGAACATCTTATAAAGTGAGTGAGCATTAAAGCTATAAATGGCACCATTCTTCTCCTACTTGCCCCAACCAAAAATCAGTGACTCTTCCCTATTCCTGAGCACCTTATCTAGTCACATTCACAGCTGGCTGTTTGAATTGCTAAATATTCTTACTCCCTCCTTCTGTACAACTCTTCCCTTGATTATTTTCTCATCCTCTCACATTTGGCTATTACAGTAATTTCCTAGTTTATTTCCCTACTCCCAAATTTATACCACATGTCTCTGTCTACTATTCATCTTGCTACTAGATAATGTATCCAAAATACAGTTATCCCTTTTATTTCATTGCTCAGCACTTACCAGCATTTTCATATATTTATACATATATTGCAAGTATTTTAATATAGCACACAAAATTCACTCTCTCCCATTCCTCCTATGACCTTTCCAATGTCAATCACCACCACTTTGTAATTCTCATTTTACATCCTATCTAATAAAGAGGGAATGTGCTAATTGACATCATACCCTCACAAAATGGCTGTGCCCACAGCCAATAAAGAGAGAATATGCTAATTGACTGTGACACCCTCACAAAAGATGGTGGCACCCACAGCCACAAGATGGCAGCACCCGGTCCCCTCAGCCCTTCCTCATCCAGCCAGAGTCCTCCAGTCAATTTAGCCCTGCAGGGGAAGGCAGTTGGGGGCTATCGGGCTGGCAGGGGAACACAGTTGGGGATAATCATGCTGGCAGGGGAGCAATTAGGGGGCTATCAGGCTGGCAGGCAGAGTGGTTAGGGGCAATCAGGCAGGCGAGTGGTTAGGAGCCAGCAGTCCCAGATTGTGAGAGTGAAGTCCAACTGCCTGATCCCTGCAGGATCAAGCTTATACCAACAGTCAGACATCCCCTGAGGGGTCCCAGA